TAAGCACTGAGGTATCAGCGGCCTTACATGCAGGTGATGTTTCTTGCAAGCTCCTGGGTTTTACAATTTCCGATGATTCCGCTGTGACCAGTCACCCAGAAAAGTTTAATATGGAAGCTTGATGCTACTGCTGGTGAGGTCATGCACTTCTTGATTAGCTTTAAGCTCACAGTCTCTCGGAGGTATGTGCGCGGAGAAGAAGCCGCTAGGGGTAGGTTAACCGAGCGCCCCTCACCAGACAATACACCATAAAACAGTGTTGGCATAACTACGGCTTACCACTAAGATACAGAGTAAAGAAGACAGAACCCTACCTTCCGGTGCGCCACTATTGACCTTTCGTAGTGCAAGCGCAAGGACTTCTTCCCTGTCCTTAGTTACAAAAATGGGGTAGTTCCCTATTACATATTACTCTAGCATTTACAGTGAATCAAAAAAAACTTTCCCAGAGAGATGTTTTGACTTTGAAAGGACTGTTCTCTTAAACTACTTCAGCTATTTTAGTACATTTATAAAAAATTTAACATCAAATAAATTTTGATTTTACCGATTACATAAAGTTTGAATATCGAAGTAATTTTGTGTAGTTGTAGTTTTTGAAGAAACAATGGTGAATAAACAAACATCTCAAAATTTTCAGGCATAGGTGGTCAGGCTAAAGAACAAAAGTACTCTCGTATATTGCTCAGTAAATTATTGATAAATTCAAAAAGACTGGTGGAGTTGGAATACTTGATGGCAGTGGAGCGCCAACAAAATTGCACGCTTGGACTGAAAGTAAAGTTGATCGGAGTATCAAGGAATACACCAAAAAATCCGGAGTCGCTAACTCTAAGGAGCTGGAAAAAGGTAACATTGCAAAACATAACCTTTAAATTGTTTGGAACTTCTTGATTTTAGAGCGTATACACCACGAAATAAGGCAGAACTATGAAAGAGAAATATTGCGAAACGTTTACTATATTTCAAAGAGTAGGTATATCCACCGTGATAACAATTTTGTGATTCCGTAATTTTTACCTATAGGCAGGCTGCATCGTGTGGTGTGTGGTGCAATGCAGGCAAATGGCGATGGTAACCTTGTTTTCATCAAAGGAATTATGTAAATAAATAACAAGAAGGTAATATAATAATAATAATAGGTAATATTAAAAAATTAAAAATATTAAGAGGTGGATTCAGGATAACGACCCGAAGCATTTTGCTTTAGTAGTTAAGCAATGGTTGTTGTACAACGTGAAAAAAGTGCTGCCGCATCCTCCTCCGAGTCCCGACTTCAATCCCATTGAACATCTGTGGATCTACATAGAGACAAAGTAACATTACTAGCAAAAAAAAGTGTTAAAATGTCAATTTATAAAAATTTTACAAGTTTTTGGCTTTTGAAAATGGAGGTATTTTGGATTTTTTAATATTTTGGAGAAAACTGGACTTTTTAAAATAAATTTCTATTATATTATGAAAACTAATAAAACCGCTTTTTTCTAACTTTCGGATGCAGCTCAAAAGTTTTAGTAGTTTGGGAGATAAGTCACTTAAAAGTCAAACCGTTGCCCTGTACAAGTTTTTTTTGGGTTCACTGTATGTCCGAGTTCCCCCAGACCGAGTGCCTTTAGTTTGCTTCCGATCCAGTTATCATGGGGCAAGTAGGCCGATATCAACCAGATTTCTCCGGTGACGTCCTCTAGCCTGCCGGTGACGACGTCCTCGTTGCTGAAATGTGTTAGAAGAAAAACAGTAAATTCTTTTTTGACCAACAGACAAGCTTTGGTTCGACCTTTAACCCAGAGATGCAGTTGTTACTCAGCCGCCGTTGCGTGATTAAGATTAATATGCAGGACTTTCATTCTCCAGGGTGCGAGTTTCGCACCACCATCAACTGAAAGCGAGGTGTAGTGGTAAATCCACTTTAGCCACTACCTCTAGTCTAGCTCCCTTACAAATCTCCCCTTCCTTGTAAAGTGATGCCGACCATTCGTCAGCACATCTAATCATCTTGTGAAGGCCATGACACCATCCGGCACTTTCGCATCTGGGAGGTGGTCAGTGAGAATCCCGTGCAGATATAGCCGTCGCTACCTGTTTCCACTCATCATGGGAGATGGCTGCTGCGGTCTAACACCCCGAGTTCAATAGAGGTTTAACGATTTCGCTAAGCGTTGGTGCCGCTCCAGTCTGTGGGTTCTTGTCGAGGGAGGCTTAACCCTTCTGCGCCCTCTGTCGCTTTAAAGCAGAACTCAGTTGCCAAGTCATAGGAAGATTTAAAAAATTAATATCGAGGAACTTAACGTACCGTCAAAAGTCGAAACTAAACTTATTCCTTATTCAGTTAACTAACTTCACTTGTCATGTCTGACGGCACCTTTATTATGATTACGTAAGGGTCAATTTATCTTGGAATAGTTCATGGTATATTTTTGGAGATATCGAAGCAAATATCTCTAATTTAAATTTGATGCAAATTTTGTGTTTAGCAAGTAGCCTGTATACAAGTAAATTAAAACACAAAATTAATCAAATTGAATATGTTAAAGGACAGAGTAAGACAATTGGTAACGAAGAATCGACAAACGAATTAAGTAAAAAATCGCAAACAATCCAATGAAACGAAAATGATGAATATCATAGCCGAAACAATGGAGAATTTATGCGTATAGCGTAAACGAATACTTGCCCATAAGTAATTTGAAGGATTCGTCTGCACAAATCGTACAAACTTCCGAACATACTTAAGTTGATACAGTGCAGGCTCAGCAAGCTTGAATCTGTTTATGCATAATATATTTGTATGTATGGATATGTGCATATGTGAGATCAGAGACGAAGTCGAGCAAAAGGTACAAGCAACTGACGAAAAGAGCAGCACAAACAACAATAATGGGACGTTAAGCGATGCAATCTTCTTCTGTTGGGCAAACATATGCAAATTTGCTTCCACTGATGCATATTAATATACAGAGGGCCAAGTCCGACATGTTATTATGGAAAATTATTTAAAATGTACCAATCTCTTTAAAATCGTCGGATCTATATGGTGCCTATAACTGGTGCGGTATGACATTCAAATTTTAAACAAGAAAAAACGTTAACTGCGGTTACGCCGTAGCTATTATACCGTTCACAGATAAAAAAATTTCCGCACAAGAAAGTTCTTGACTTGCTTTTGATCGTTTAGGCTGAATGCAGCTATATGCTATAGTAATCCGATCTAAACAATTTGTTTGGAGGTTGTACCGTTGCCGTGGATAATAATCCGAGTCAAATCTTGTGAATATATAATATCTTGTCAAATAAAAAAGTTTTAAATAGGTTCTTAGGGAGAAAAATAAATGTGCAAAACTTCAGAGTGATATCTCATAAACTGGGGGACTAGTTCGAGTATATACAGACGGACAAACAGAGACACAAACGGACTTGGCGAAACTGACATCTGTCCTTAAGAATTTGCTTAAATAAATATATACACTTATTATACAAACATGATCAAATATGTGTAATTGCTCGACTATTTTTAACTAAATTTTATATACGGTTTGGTGCTCTACTCTTTATTGGCGGCTTTTGACTTACTTTATAGGCAATATTCGAAGAAATTTAAAGAAGCGTACTTGATCACTTATTTGTACTCGACTGAAATTACATAGATTCAACGTCTTTTGGGTAGCACCATTTTAGAATCCAAGGATGTGACGATTACCTTCTAGAAGGAAGTTTCAAATCAATTTGTACTAATGTGCGAGTAAGGTTATTTTCAAAGAAAGGACTTCTTAAACACTCTTGACAAAAAGATCAGAAGACATTATCCCAGTAAATTTGAAGGAGTTCGTTGAGCGAATAAATTCAGGTTTTAATCGAGAGGGATTTTGTTGCCAAATTATGCATTTTACCAAGTTTGGCGGTTGAACCACATTTCCTCCCACAAAATTGTGGCGACTAATATAAATCTTTGTGAGCAAGAAAAGTCTATGTCTGAAGGTCAATATTATATAAAGCCTTTAAAACATAATTACTTTGAACTAGGCGGTGTAAATTAATCGTATTACGATACAAATTAAATATGTATTTGCAATTGTGGACAAAATTTGCTAAATTTCGTTTATAAAACCATTTGTTTATGTTTTTCTGCTGTAGATATTTTATGAAATTGATGAATAGTGTGAGAATCAAACGTGAGCGTAGTGTCTAATTTAGTGAAAACTCTTTCAATGAGGTAAAAATAAATGGAGATTGTCCACCGTGCAATGTCGCCCTACCAACTTACCTAAGAGATAAATTAAGGATTTGTTTAAAAAAGCGCATTATTAGTAAAAATTAAGAAAAAAGAAATCATCTTGATAACCACAACAAAACATTTGAAGAAAAAGTTACAGAGGAAATGCTTAGGCCTCCGGGCACCGGCTAACTGACCTCCACGCAAGCCACTAACGCCCGGTTCGAGAGGCAAGCGGAGCGTAAGACGCAATAATGAAAAATTGCAAATGGGAAATGAGAGCGGATTAAAGCTCAAACAATAGGAGCTAAATATCAGTAAATGTACATGAGTGCACATATATGAACATATTACATTTAAGTTTTAGCTGGAAGAAAGCTAGCGGCGCGTAACGAGTTGCGATTTAAGTATGAGTATTTATATTTTAAACTAGTATCTGACCAGAACGCTTTTGTAGTAGTAGGAAGGTGAGGAGAGCTGCCTTGCCTACCTGCTTTTACCGAGTACGTGGTTCAGTGTGACAATTGCCGCTGCTCTCATTGGAAAATTGCAGTTGTTTCATTGCAAATACGTTTGCTGAGACACGAGCGGTCAGCAACTCACGATTCAATGTGAGAGAAAGCGCCAGTCACATTATAGTTGACTCATTCTACACTATGGAGCCGGTGCGCACTTCCAATTGGAACAACATGCTCACGCTTGTGCTCGCTCTTCCAGGCGGCACGATCGCACGATGACTTGTGGTATACTTGTTGAGTAGGTTTATTTGTAGAATTCTGTTTTGTTTCGTCATTCGTTCATGCAGCAAAAATAATGGACAACGATCGGCTCAAGATACAGCTATAGCTGCCCGCTGGCGTGTGGAGGTGTGAGTGTGTTTGGAAATGTTGCACGTAAATATGCACTTCAAACATAGGGGATAACTGTTGGATACCGCAGCCGTAGCTAACAGTCGCGTTCAGACCCTGTTACACCACGGTTAAGAGTGTACGCATGCGCGCGCTTCAAAACGCTACGCTCAGTGAGTTTTCGTTATTCAAAAGCACGCTTAATAATTGAAGTTGGTGAAGTGACGGCACAAATAGAATGCTAATGAGGATGTAGCATGTGCAACACAGCTGTCTTCGATTTGAGAATCGCCGCGCGACTTTTTGTTTAGAACGGACAAGAATTATAAATTATAAATTGAGTAGTGCCAATTTTCCGTTTAATTGCACCCAAGCAAAAATACAAGCATTCAAAGTGTGCGTTTGTGTCATAATCAAAAACAAAACGGTGCTAAACACAATTATGATTTAAAAAGAAACTTTGCTGTTTTCCGTGTTAAATATTTATGTTTATTTAGAAAAGCTTTGAAATAGCAGCCGAGTCACTCATGAAGCTTTTGCAACGCTTTCTTGCGTTCAAAAAGTTATCGGCTTCACCGCAAAAAATCAGAAACATTGCAATCCAGCAACGCTTCGTGCCAAAATAATGAGTGTAATCCTGTTGTCATTGCCACATCGTTACAAGCGCCTACTGCAAGCAATGACACTCGCCGTGGCAATAATTTACACCACACTGGTGCTGTATCAGAGCACCTACGGATATCCTGACTTACAGGTGGGTAGTGAGCACTGCTCAAAATTGCACAAAAAGAATATCCATATGCATGTGTATGTGTGTGTGTTGAGGTGGCCCTTTTGTGTGGGCATTCGCTGCAGATAGCGAGATATTTATATTATGCATTCGGTCGAATGAGTAAAGGGAAGCGATTCGTGGGCCGTATCTTGTTCAAAGATAATAAAATAATCGCAAAAATCAGCTGATCCACCCGCCCGGCTTGCACGAAGCAATGCAAATATGAAGATATATTGGGTGGAAAGTGTGCTCAAATTATTTACTTTTTTCGATAAAAAGTAAAACTTGACAATTATTGCTAAAAATGCTTAATTTTTGTGGAACTGCAAATGTGAAAATATGCAAATGTATGTATGTGTGCATATAAACTCCCAGCATTTGCGAATGAATTGCTTTACTTTGCCGTCGGCATTTTTAATATCGAGATCATTTTCATTAAATATTGGTTTAACTAAATAAAACAAGGTTTTTGTGAAATATGATATATAATGTAATTGCAAGTAAATTCATACACATTTTGTTTTACATACTACATGGTGTTTTTTAGACATGTTTGCCATTATGTGTTATAAATGATTTCGGGCAAGTGACCGCCGCCGCTGGCTGGAATAAAGGGTCGGCTTTAGAATAACGTTCCGTTCCGGCTTTAGAATAACGAATTAAACTTCGCTGAACAAAATTGAGTAAAAGGGATAGGTGGCCATCTCGTGTGACGTGCTTGATAGTCGTTCTGCTTCAGCTTCAATTCTTGCACGAATTTGTTTTTCTAAGTCAACAAACCAAGACCCTTCCACAAAATCTTTCGTAAAGTGGATGGACTCAGCTCGTTAAGTTCGTTCGATTGGCTACTCTCGAAGCCATCCATTGTAAGGTTTTTAAAAATGCCAGCGTTGTTTTATCAAAAAATGCCTCGAATGAAAATACAATTTTTTTAATGTTGATATGCAACTCTCTAGCGCTTGGCGAGTCGAAGGCAGCCATTCACTTTTTCGTAAACATTAAATAAAGTGTATTGTTTTATTTATCAACTGTTTCATTATGTCACATTGGTTGCCTATGGTCTATAGTTGTCTCATTTATCATGCTACTTGGTGGTCCGATACATGAAATTAAAAACTTCGGTCGGCAAAGAACATTTCATTTATTTATTTTAATTATGAAACTGGTCGTAAGCAACAGTTAAGCAATTCTCTTCGCTTAGTACAAGTGAATCATGTGCCAACGCAGCTGCATAATTGCTTTCATTTGCCGAAACATCAAAAATACAACAAATACTGTAATGAGACAGCATAGAGGGCTCAGCGCAAAGTTTACTCATATTTCAGTAAATATTTTGTCATTTGATTTTACGAGCACCATTTCAACTCAGCTCAGCAGTCAGCAAAGTCCAAGTCACATTGTGCAACGCAATAAATAAATAAGGCGATTGGGGTATAGTATTTGTTTGTTTGTTTATTGCCTAAAAGTGTTGCATTTGCACAAATATGAAGCGTGTGCAAGAGTTTGTTCAATCGCATTGGTGCATGTAAGCCCGCCTGTTTGTAGGTGAACGGCATTCTGTGCTGGCAACCCGGTAAATAATGAATTGCACACTGTTTGGGCTTTAAAGAGCTGGCCTTTGAACTGCTTGGGTGTTGCAGCTACACTTAATTTTATGCGTATTTATGCAAGCTTAGGCGCACACACAAAGCCACAAACTTAATCTAGATGTAGGTAGTGGAACGGATATAAGGCGTTCGGACGCGTTCTTAAAATGCCAACACTACGAGGAGTTTGCATGCACCAATAGTGTGGGCGTACTTTTAATCCTTCAGCAGCCACTACCGTCTCACATACATGCATATAAACGCGTGATAGTGTGCTTGTTGTCACGATTGGCGCACTGACTACGCGGATCGCTTGCAGACTGGCAGCCCAACAGTACGTCCAATTAATTGTCAGCTACGCAGCGCTATCCCCTCGACTATCAGCGGCAATTATTTCTTCGCTCTCGAAATCGTTAACAAACGATAGCAGCGATGGCAGCGAGTGTGTTGGCAGTGTTGCCACCGGCTCCGCCTGCGCCACTGCGTCACATTCGCGCGCACATCCGCCATATGCAACAAATTGCCAGAAAAGTTCGCTCGTTGTCGCATAAATTTGCATAAATTCAATACGACAGGGCATATATACTACATACATACGTACATACGAGTAGGTATGTTAGGTACGTTGCCAGTGTGCCGGGCGCAGGGCGGCTGCAGTGCATTGTTGGTTCACGTTCCGATCGGCTGTTGGCGTTGTTGGTCCGGTCAACGGCTGTGATTAAGAATTAAAATTGCAAATTTCTTCAGAATGTGACTTGGCCGTTGCGAAACAAGTGTTTTCGCGTCACAGTTGCTGTAGCCATTACGCCAGGCCCGGCTGGGTTTGTGCGCTATTTGTGCGCGCATTACGTGTGACTTGGCCATAAACAATGGCGCAACAGCCAGTTGATGGTATCTTGTGTCGTTCACCTATTTAGTCGGTGGGTCGATGATTTCATGATTCGAAGTATTTCTATGGCCCCTTTTCAACAACCCCAATCACACCTTGGAATAAGCCATTCCGGGATGTGGATTTGCTCTAATAGAGTAAAGCGTCCACTGCTGGGCGCTCATTTCCGGCACTGCAATTGACGCTTTCACACCTTAATTATCTGTTTCGTCGCAAATTCGTAGTATTGCAAAAGTTATTTTGAATTTCTCATCAAGTTAAGCTGCGATTAACAGATATTGATTCCTAGTACAATTAAAAGTGGAAGTACTTCAATATTGCATTCACGATGTATGCCTGTGATGGCTGTGATAAATCAATAACCCAGTCGGAATTTTAACCTATCTTACATATGGATTAAGATAGAAACTTGTAATTTTAAACGGAGTTTATTTTACTGTTTTAAAAAAATCTTTAAACAGAAAAATACACTTTTGGTTGTATTTTAGTAAACTTTTTTTTACTTTGGTTGAACCCCGTATTCATATTGGATGAACATTTACATACTTGTACTTGTCTGCCATGAACAAATTATAGACATAATTCAAAATTTCCCTTTAATCAGATTTCTTGATTCGTCTACACCGACTTTCAGTAAATGTCAAATCGCTCGGAATTTAATGCGGAGAAATATCTATTGACGAATATCTGCTGATCAACTAAATATGATGACCCAAAATGCCTCCAATCCAATCACCAAACGACAAAGGTTGTCTCCATCCCCTGTTTGAGCGACTCATTTTATAAACATTTAACATTTCATGTGATGAGCAATATCGTAATACTAAACTTCTTTCACTTAAAAGTAGCAGTTGTTTGGTTTGTCAACCGTACATACTTCCTAAGGTGAATGTATCTGCTTTTCATCAGGGACATTTCGAGACCTGAGCTCTTCCTCACGCACAGATTTGCCTTTAAGTGAAACATACATTGTTATAAACTGATCATTCAAGGTATTACTTTCCACTTTCAATGAGGAAGACCGACAGATCTCTCACCTTATTTCTTTCGATCTTCTAAAAGGCCTTTAACGATCCTGAGTACTAGTAAGGAGCAGTACAACAAAAGCTGTGGATGGACTAACTTGAAGAGAAAATCGGTTGATTATTTTTCGGTAATTGCTCAACATTTCCGAGTATTAAGTAGTCATATAAGTACGAGCAGAAGTAAGTGGATGAGCAAGCATAATGAAGTATAGCTTTCGGTTTCCTTTAAACGTAAAATAGACGGAAATTCTCTGTATTTAGCTGGCATATGCCAAATTTTTCCCACCATTTTCTATATTATTGCTCTTGTTCCGTTGCATATAGCCGTGGTGTCAGTTGTTGTGAAAGTTAAAGCTCTTAAAAATCTCAGCGAGTAAATTATCTAGTTTAGTTCGTGTACTTATGTATCTATTTTAGTGTTTATTGCATGTATGTATATTATATATGTATGTATGTACAAACAACGAGAAGTGAATGGTGCGATTTCAGTTGGCAAAAGAATTGGTTTTTGTGGCAAATCCATCATTTTGAAGGTACGTGTGTGTACCATATGTGTCGAATCGATTTTGTACGCTTGCGCGGATATTGAGCGATTTATGCTGTTACAGTTGAGTCGTTCCAATCGAATATTATTATATATTCGGCTGTTTCCCTAAACTGGTCTGATTAATTATTTTTTAAATACACGCAATAAATTTGTTTTGTACAGACCACCTCGACATGGTTCATATTTGTCTAGATACATATGTACATGCACTTGCGTGTGTTTACTTCATATTAATGCATTTGAAATGCGTGAAATGGTCAACAATTTATCAAATCGAATAAAAATAGATAAATGAGCATGAATTGTTTGAAAAATCATTTAGCCTAAGCTGTTTCACCACGTTCGCCTCTAAAATTTAAGATTTTCATTAGTTTCCCAGAGTCCACGGCGATCGCTTACACACACGCTATGAGTCGCAGTCGCTTGATTAACGGCTAGTAACTGCATAGAACGAATGTGGCTAACGGTTATGTGCACTGATCGAATAGGTAATTGAGAGTAATTATCAAACGTTTTCGCCTTTTAATTATTCAAACTGTTTCTCCGCGGTCATACTACAGCGTTGAATCGTTTGCTACAAAAGTAATGCTTCAAATTGGACCCAGTAGAGGCATGTATGAACATATGCACACATACATATGCTCTTCATTGGCCTGTTGCAGCATGTCGGTCTGTTGTCTTCTGATTCTCAGATTCTCAGCTGATTTTTATCAACTATTACCTTCGCTGATATCTTCTTAAGCGCTGAGATAACTTGTCATTACATTCTTTGTCCATTGGAACAATTTAATTTTTGTGTTCGTCGTATGCATTGCCTACTTACTTACTTTTATTAACCTTTTTTCGCGTTTGTTGAGGGTCGATTTTCTTTTTAATTTCTTTTGATTTCATATCGTCGCTTTATTTGTGTTTCGAGAATGCTCAATTAGGTTGGT